TGTATATGTACATGGTAAACCTACTCTCGAACCTTAACCCTTTAATTTTGACAAAAAATAAAGCCTGAATCAATTGTTGTAATAGCAAACTGTAGTGTGAACTCGAAGAGGATGTGGTAATTCTTGGAAAGCTCCCATTAATTTCTTGATAATGGTTATTCACTCTAAAAGACTGATCAGATAATATGGAGCGGCAAACTGCTGCACGTTTTTTAATGTGTAAATAAATGGAAAGTGAACAAGATACAGAAGGATCTTTAATAATACACTTTAATTACATCATCATAAAAATATTCAAAAATGAACTATGTACATGTAGTTTACTGCTTCATAAATCACCAGGTTTCATGGACCATTAAAAAGGAGTGTGTGTTTATTGTGCCGTGCATTTCCTCATTATAAATTTGTAATGACCGTTTACGTCAACGCACGATTTAACAGATACTGCGCAATACAAGGAAGCAAACGGTCAATAAGTGACGAGGAAGCAAACAGTACATTATGTTTATAATTCTCCCATTCATTGTTGAACTCTCTCATGCTCTCACTGTCCTTTAATAATAAAGGTACTTTAAAGTAACATTGTGATGGTTGATTTCACAAATCTGTTGAATCAGGATGCAAAACACATAAAATTATGTGTGTATGTATGGATTATCCAACTACGATGCCCCAAATCCGAAATTAATTCACGCAATATGAAGATTTTTAACAAAGTTTAACGGGTTTTCGAACGGGCGTCGATGGGAGGCGCTTCTGAATCGAAATTCTCCCAACCATTTTTGAATTTTCCCAACGGTTTTTCCATGAAAAAAATATATTAAAACAGGCTATAAAAAATCTGTCAACATTTTAGTGTCTGGAATAGAATGTAGAGCCATTTTATTGCTTTGTGAGATTTCCATTCAACTCAAATGTAATTAAATTGTAATAATATAGTTGGAAGAATTAAGGAATCGATCGGATCAGTTTTTCCCAATTTGTACCATGAATAATGGTCCGTTTTCACTCAAATTTTCAGATTATCTTTAATTGTACATCTAGCATTGAAGTCACTACCTTAGCACCACTATCTCTCATCTGAACAATGTTACCAAGTCCCTTTAATGCGCTGTTGACCATGAATTTGGAATAATGATAATAATAATAAAATATTTCTTTTATAGCGCTATAATCCAATTTAGAACTGATCAAAGCACTTTACAAAACAAATGAAACAATGTTTAAAAACTCAACGAAAATATGATAGAAAATGTAATGCAGTTAAGTATAATGTAAATAGGGGTGTTTTGAGATGCTTCTTAAATAATTCAACTGACATACTACAGCGTAATTCACAACCTAGTCCATGTAACCGGACCACTGTAATGAAAACTTTCATGAAATGATTGTGACATTTTTGCCTTATGTACCTCCCTCTCTCTCTCTAGATAAAGTTTTAATCTTCTCAGAATTTTATTGATGTACACATATACGGTAGCTCTTTAGATTGATCAATACAGTTGCAAGAAGATATAAACTTTATCAGTCAAGGATAAATCATATTGTCACAATCATTTTATGAAAAGAGATAAGGAAAAAAATATAAACTGTTGCCAATAAGTAACATAACAAAGCTTTTAAATGGGCCAAAGTACAGTGTATATTTTGTTTGCTAGTCTTATCTTCAGTACAAAAGAATATAAAAATAATAATTTCAGGGTTTCATATCTGTAATGTACATAAACATGAATATACATGTTTATACTGTAGGCCCTACATATATTAATATAACCTTGGAGAGTGAACATATTGTCACAATCATTTCATGAAAAAAGATAACAAAAAAATATTAACTGTTGCCCATAACAAAGCTTTTAAATGGGCCAAAGTAGAGTGTATATTTTGTTTGCTAGTCTCATCTTCAGTACAAAAAGAATATAAAACATAATAACTTCAGGGTTTCATATCTGTAGTGTACATAAACATAAACATGTACATGTACATGTACATTGTATATATAGGCCGTTCATGTACTAATATAACCTTGGAGAGTGAACAACTGTGACTAGATAAATAAAGCTTGATGGTTGCGCCTTAAAAATGGTGCAGGGCAGAGAGAAATCAATATCACAGTTCATCTGTTGATTGCAGTGCGATGGAGCGGGTGCATGGCGTCATCGACAAAACACACAAGCACACGAGGCCTGTTGACGACTGGTAGTACGTTTTCTAGAGCACGACCACCCAACCGTGAACAGTTGGGGAAATTTCTTTACAAAATGATATTGCAAAATCATCATTACATTGTCAACGACCAGGCACGACTGACTAGATTTGGTATCAAGGTACCTGTAGGTTGCATGGCAGACCGCGCTAACATAAATAGTCCTATAAATGGGCATGACGAAACTATATTGTTCGCCATTTTATGTACATGTGTATGTATGCGCATGTGCACGAGACGCTGCAAAATAATGGTCACAAATGTGGACATAAAATTGCTATGTACAGACATGTACATATTAATGATCATTGTAATGGGCAGTATTCAAGCACATATTTGGCGGGTGCAGTTTCATCTCAGGAAATATAGGAAGTCTTTCCAGGATTTGGTAATTGCAGCCAAAAATGTTTCCTTTCCTTTGCCTCAGGCTACCTTAATAGTACTTGAGATATTTTTGTATTTATTTTGTTTTTGTTTTTGTCTTTTTCTCTTCATCTCTCCTTGTTCTGTTTCTGCCAATATACCTCTTTTTTTCTTTCTGTCTTCTTTCTTTCTCTCCTTCTTTCTTCCCCTTATAAATATTTTCATCTTTTATACCACCGTATTTAACCTCCTACACTGTACATGTTCATGCTTTCTTTTTCTCTTCATCTTTTCCTTCTTCTGTTTCTGTCAATATACCTCTGTCTTTCTTTCTGTCCTTTTTTCTGTCTTTCTTTCTTTCTCTCCTTCTTTCTCCCTTCTTCTTCCCTCTATAAATCTATCCATCTTCGATACCACTCTTTTTAAGTTTAACCTTCTACATGTACATGTTGATTTTTTCTTTTTCTCTTTCTCTTCATCTTTTCTTGTTTCTGTTTCTGTCAATATACCTCCTTCTTTCTGTTTTTCTTTCTTTCATTCTGTCTTTTTTTTCTGTCTTTCTTTCTTTCTTTCCTTCTTTCTTCCTTCTTCTTCCCTCTATAAATCTATCCATCTTTGATACCACTGTTTGTAACCTCCTACAAGTTCATTTTTCTTTTCCTTTCTCCTTCACCTCTCTTCTCTCCCCTTGCACTCTCTTTCAATCACCAATTAAATAATCTACGGAAGCAAAGGTATACCATTTTAGTCTAAACAAAATGAAGTATTGAAATTGGTTTGAGGGGATCTGTGTATTCCCCATCATTAACAGAACTAATGGTTCCCTTTATAAAAAGACTAGTGCAAGTATAATGAGCACAATGGGTTTAGTAATTGAATCCACTTGTAATAAACTGTGTAGTTTCTACATTTATCTACGGTATAGAAACTAAACACACCCTTTAACCAAGCACTTCAATAAATCATCCTTGTTGACATCCAAGCTATAAAATATTAATCACATCATTCCAAGTTTCTGTTTAGCAATAGCACTTTGTATACTTTGCACACCATTTGTATGCATGCGCAGTTTATGAAATATGATACGTACAATGTATTCAAGAATGTTTTATAATGACTTCATACTTTTTGGATTCTCTTCCTGTTTCACTTTCATAAATGATGTACTGTAGCATGTTGGAAAATATGCAATTTATTTGCATTCATACATGTACAGGCTGTAAACATCCCAACTTTTGTTTTTGTGTTGTTATTGTTGTTTGATGTTGGTTTCATCTGTTAAATGTTTTTAGATGTAGGGTAACATGTACATATTGCAGGCTTTCATTAAATAAACTTTGTTTGAAAAATAATACAATATTTTATTGATGTACAGTGAACATGTACATGTATTGGTGGTTTCAAAATTTCACTGTTAATATACATAAGATCAACTGATAACATGCCCCACAGCGGTAAGTTTAAGCTTTGATTTTTTAATGATATAATCAGCATAATAATAAAGGATTGGATGATACATTTGATCAGCAAAGAGATTGTGTTGACACAGTTGTGACGACACAATAACCTACATGTAGTCACGAAACTTTTTTGACAGCCGATATAAACATCCCCGATCCCTGTCACAGAAAGAGTAGCAATTGAACCGGATTGATAGCAAGTCCTCTATTAAATCAATCTCAAACTCAAAAACTCCTACCACTTTTGAGATTGTTTGTTGCAATTGTTATGAAGATCTTAGTGAGTTATGATCGATTACTTATGGCCAATTAGCACCAAATAAGTACTAGGGTTATTCCAGTAGACCGACAGCCCATGAGACCGACATTGATTAATCATTCACAAAACACGGTATACCAACAGTCCACAAGAACAACAAAACAAAGAAAAACATAAGAAAAATACAGAAAAGAGGAAAGCTCCAGAAGGTCTATGTGACCGCCGGCCCATGAGACCACCAGCCCAAGAGACTTATGAAACCCCAAAATACATAAGGGGAAAATAGCAAAATGGGTGCCTTGTGGGATGTCACTTTGTCAGTCTAGTGAATCCTCAAAAAAAGTTGTTACAAGGCCCCACAAGACCGGCATTATCGGTCTAAAGGGCTGTCGGTCTAGTGGGCTGTCAGTTCTATGTACCCTGAAAAGAGTTGTCAGATGATCGGTCTCGTTGGCTGTAGCCAGAAACACCGCCCACAACAACCGCCCAAAAGACAGATAGGCCACTAGACCAAGTGAAACCTCTGAAACGTGGCTAGTAGGCCTACAGGACTGACATTGTCGGTCTAAAGGGTTGTTGGTCCAGTGGGCTGTCGGTCTTGTGAACCCTGACAAAAAAGAGTTGTCAGATGATCGGTCTCAATGGCTGTAGCCATAAACGTCACAATCAAAGATATAGTCCCAATGCAGGGAATAACATGCACTGTACTTACCACTCCACTCTTGACCTGGGTAGCGAAAAGATAGTCATCCCTGACTTCAAAGTCTTTGATGCCCGAGATGATCACCTGCCTGTTGAGGGTCAAGAAATCATCTGACTTGCTGACCGAGCTCGTACCGTCAGTTTCCAGCCTCTCCACGTAGATGGTATCAGTCCTATCCCATGGCTCAACACCCCTGGAACAAGGAGAAAGTGAAATTGAAAAAAAATTGCAATTATTTTAAAGCCTACATCACTCTATAAACACTTTCACAGCTATTGCCCACATTTTGCCACTCTGAATACACAAAAAAAAAAAAAAACCTTCCAACTTTCCACACTGACTGTTTGGATTTATGTTGCATTAGCAGCATAACCCACATTTATTTCTGGGAATTCAATGAATGAAAATAATCTTTAAAATCTGTAAATTGGTAACATGTTGAGAGGTTTTAAAAATGTGTTATTCCTACATGTACTTAAAGTGGCAATATAAAGGTCCAGACTGACTGTGGATTTATGTTGCATTAACCTGCATTTTATTTTAGTAATTCAATAAAGGAAAATAATCTTTAAAATCTGTAAATTGGCAACATGTTGAGAGGTGCTAAAAAATCTGTTTTCCTACATAAAAAGGCAATATCAAATTTGTGTTTATATAGTTTGATTTCAGATACATGACTTTTTATTATAAGGACAAGGTACAGGGAACAAGATTGCCAAATTCAAGAATAAAGGTGACCATAAGCCTCCCTTTATGTACACAGATAAAATCAGTTCTACCCCTCAGCTAAAAACCTGGGAAAAGAATATAGCGGGTACAATGTGGTACCATGTGGTACCACGCACAAAGTTATAAATGTAGTCTCAAGCAAGAACCTATCCAAACCATCCATGCAAACATCAGTACAGCGAGTTTATTGTACTCATTATCAACATCCGTAAAAAGAACAATTATGGGAGCAAAGAGCAATTTAAGTGATATAATCCCCCCCCCCCCCTCCTAAAAAAAGGGGGAAAAAAGAAAACACTATTTAATAAAATTTCATGACAACATTTGCTTTCATTGAACATTGCAATGCATGCTCAGGCAAATAAAATGCAAACACTGTCAAAATAACTGGATGATTTAATGCATGATTAATGATGTTAAAAAATTATATCACATACTTTATATAATTTGTACCACACTATTGACAATGTACTGTCTATAAAACTTGATAATTTTGTGGGCATGAAATATTCTCAAATTTTGTAGGTAATTAAGACTCACGAAAACTAAATGACAGTGAATAATTGCATCACAAGTACATGAACAGGTAAAACTATTAGTCATACAACACTCAATTTTTGTGACTCATGAAAGTTCCTCTGCCTTGAAATTTGCTTTTGTTTATTTACAATTCATGAAAGATTAAAGGTATTACAAAGTTTTGGTATGGGGTCATGAATTTGGTTCAAATTAACATATTGAAAGCATATGCGTTCCTACGATATTCATTGATCGTTGTCCCGGTTGAAATCGAGTCCAAAGTTATGAAATTATAAATAATAAACTCTTTAAGTTGTATAGCTCCCTCTCAAGGTCAAGATATCAATTTAGCTATGAAACAATGTTTTTTGACTAAATTCGACCGTTTAGCTATTCCCGTTTGGAAATTATACATGTACATCACAACTACATATTCTGAGATTTTCATGGTCGCAGCTACCATTGTACGGACGTAGGCGCTATTCGAAATTTACCAAAATTTACCAGGAGCACCGGTAAATTTTTATATTCAATTTTTTTCGAAAACAGAAGTGTTTTAGGGATTAATTTTCTTAGAGCCCATAATACATCCACAGGGGCATCCAAATATATCAAAATTGTAAAGATTCACTATACACCAAATTTTCAAAATTTCCCAAAACTTTGTATTACCTTTAAGATGCAAAATAATTCTGGTTTCACAAGCCTACATTTTATTACGAAAATCTTTAATTACGTTAATAAAGAGTAATACCGGTAATTGTAAGTACATTTTATAGGCAGTTTTATCTATGCTTAATAGAGCAAAGCAATAGATTAATAGCATCATCACACATTTGGATATTGGATTTTACCCCAGATTGACAGTACAGTAATACTGTTCAAACAAAGTGTCTGTTGATCATTTTTAAATGCCCTTTGACCTTACCAGTTGAAGCTCTTCACATCTTGCTCCATAAGAGTCCAAGTACCTCCAAAGTTCATCGAAACATAAAGCTGCAAGGGAGGGAGAAAAATAAAGAAAAAAATCAATGAAATATAATGACTCAGATTTTGATGGAAAAAATGAAAGCATCGATATACTTAATTCCTCAATTTCTTTATTTTCAGGTTCATTTATAAACTGTGTGGGAATTTATACAATGCATTTTATCATCCCATTCACACATATCTTCGCCTACACGGACATGCAAAGTACCATAGACCTCAGACTGAGAAACAATGTGTGAATTTTATTAACAAATTCATTAGGATAAAAATAATGCAAAACGTAATGATGATAATATTAGAACGAAACATGTACATGGTATATGGTCATATCAAGTTACGCCCCCCCCCCCCCCCCAGGCCCACTCCTGCCCCTCCTCCTCCTCCCCCCATCTAAAAACATATATAGAAGTAAATTACTATGGGAATTGTCCAACTGTAAGTTTATATTTCCTCTACTTCCCCTTATATGATAATTAAGCCATATCATATCAAACAATTCAAAAAGGTTCATGTACTGCGCTATCATGTGTCATAACTTTTGAAGACCATCATCTCCTGTGAGTGGACTCAAAGTCCAATTCTCCTCCCTTTTGTCGAGGGTAATTAATTTGAGGAGAGAAAAGATAACAAAGCAAGCCACAAACATCAATCATCGGGTTTATAAATTTAAGCCATTAATTGTAGATGAGGAGTACATGTACATGTACATGTAGGTGCATTCAAAAGATCGCGATGTTTTGCGCTGCCGCTTACACTTTCGCTGAAACATCACGGACTGAAATGCTCAGTGATGTTATGGCGTGTTTTGGTTGGTAATGCGAATGTGCGGTCTTCCCGACCTTTGACCCAGGCCCTGCCATTAAATTGGATGCAATCGAGAAATGCTGAAGGTCACATGCAAAACATCGCGATGTTTCAGCTGCTACCGTTTACATAATACCAAACATCACGCGGACATTAAGAAAAAAATCACACTCCGGCTTGGAATGTTTCTGGCTTGGCATTTTTGGCGGTTTGGCGTACATGTACTTCATCACTGAAAGATCATGGTCAGGCCCCGGTTTGGCGCGTTTGGTTGCAAGTGTAAATGGCCCTACTGTAAAAGTTTAAATGTTGGTAAACACACACGGTGCCATGCAGGGACAGGCTCTGTATGTTGTTTAAGATTATGTTTATGACGGCACATACAAATGAACATATATCACTCCAGGGTACATACAGTGTATATCTGTACATGTAGGCACTTCGTTGTATCAATGTATTGGGCGATATATAAAAGCGGAATATTATTATATTTTCCTTGATATTGCAGCCTGCCACCTAATATGAAAACAACTATGACTTGACTGATATCCAGAAAAAACGAGCTCTGCCACAATCTCATGTGACTGATAATAATAATGATTGCTCTCAAATCAGTTTCCTGAAGAACTTTTTATACATGTATGAAAAAGGTAGTGGAAATGATGTTGCAGGTAAAACCACTTGTTTGTCTCCACAGTCCCTAGCTACAAAGTACAGTATTAAAGATACTTAAAAGTTTAAAACCACATCCTACAACTTATAGTTAATGGACTTTCGTATGAGCAATACGTTTTATATCCTGTATTACATCAAAACCATTGAACATTGGAACTCTGCAAGTTCAGGGGTTTTAAGACCGCTATTTTCAATCAAAATTTAATTGTATTTTTCATTTTTTAATTTTTTGTTTCATATCATTTTTAAAGACACTAAACTTTCTCATAACAATTTAGCCATAAAAGAAAAATATGATAGTTGCCAATTTGAAGAACAACAAGTGATCAATTTAGCCCTTAAAATACATCTTATCCTGAAAGGGTTATAACAGCAGGGGGGTGTTTCACAAAGACTAAGATCAAGTTTAAGTTGGACTTAACTATGACAGGCCATTCATGCCACTGGTTGCTCTCACTATTGGTCTCTCAATTATGATCTTTAGATAATATTTGTCCTTCAATAATGAACTATCAAAAAATGTAAACACTGTAGATTTGTGACCACGATTTATACGTCTCTTTAGAGACCAATGCAAGTATAAAATGTTAAAGAGCTAACAGTGGCATGAATGGCCTTCCATAGTTAACAGAAGTCCTTGAAGTTGATCTTTAGTCTTTGTATTAAAACACCCCCCCCCCCCCCCAGTTTATGTATTTTGATCGAGTCAGCTAATAGTGCTTACCCTTCTGGAATCATCGTTCTCATCCATTCCGAGGACGATGTCGGGGTTGACGGCATGAGTGAAGATGGACGTTGGCTTGAAGGGGACGGTGAAGGTACTGAAGGTACTTCCAAAGTTTTGTGTCGTAGTGACCAGGGAGTTGACCACATCTGTGAACATATACTGCAAGGAGAAACAACATGGAGATGAGGTTGTTAAGAAGAGATATTTGATTAATGGTTGTCAAAAATCTTGGTTATGATGAGTATATTCATAATAATCTTGCACTAAAACTTCAAGATTACATCTGAACATGCACATGTAAATTGTGGCCCGAATTCACAAAGCAAGGTTTGAGCTCAGACCAAGGTTTGAGCTCAAACCTTCTTTTGTTTCGCCAAACCTCCTTTTGTTCTTTACAAACGAGGTTTGTAAAAAACGCGTAAAACGCGTCATATGACGTACGAAAACCAAGGTTTGTCGACAAACCTCCTTTGTGAATTCGGGCCTGTACACATGTATGTGTGTACCGTACTGATTATTATCACAATGAGAACAAAAAGCCTATAATCAAATATCAACTGACGACTATGATCTTGACCTACACTAGCCCAAAGATGTAATTGAATCATCTTCCTATACCTGTAGTAATACTGTCACCATGTTTTTAATGTTTCTTCACAACAAATGAATCATAAGGAAAGAATCAGGAAACAGTGGAAGCAAAAGTGGAATGAAAAAAAACAAAAATACACCTGTAAATGATTACAATGTAATGTATACATCGTACATGTATACACAGTGTGAATTTCAACCTGAGCATGTACAGTACAGTACCTTATGGCAATATTTATGGCAAGCTGCTTTAACATAATTTATTCCTATTTCTTGATATCAAGAAAGATATTCTTGATATCAAGAAATTATTTTTTTGTTGTATTTAAAGCAAAGGTAATTCTTGATATCACGCAATAGGAATAAATGTTAAAACGGCTTGCCATTAATACACAGCAATATGCAAGCCAAATACACAAAGATGTGACTGAGGCTTTACAGTATATAATTTGATCATACTAGTCACATACACGGTACAACAATTATGTACATGACTACATGTACAATGTAACTGTATATTTTTATAGTGTGCATGTACATGTAAATCCTCCCCATAATAAAGCAAAATGATAATCAAACGTTCAATTCAATCCAATTCAATTCAACTTCTTTTGTCTACCAGTTATTTATGCATATATTCGATTTTGGTGTAAAATCCTCGGAAATGCAAAACATATATGCATTTGACTTTGTAATGGATTCCCAGCACAGGAAATCTTCAAATTGTGCCAGGGAAATAATCTGTCCCAAGTGCCATGCTCAGTGTAGTATTACAAGAGCGCATTATCATAGAATTCAAAGACAATGAGGAAAACGTTCAGGCAAGGAAAACAAATGACATATTATACAGGGTGCTAAAGAGAACATACAGATCCATGTACAAATACTGTACACTTGGTTAAAGATAAAGTTGAGTATGTAGTCATGATTGCATTGTGAAAGGGTCTAGAAGTTAAAGGGAAAGTGGTAATACAGTGTATTTCACATAAATTAGGTATTTTGAGGTTTCGGAATGGACTCAATCTTGCCAACAGTCACTTCCATTGATTACCAGTTCCAATCTTTTCAGGGGAGTTTTTAATTTGCATTATCTCTTGTTTACCATAGGTTTCACACAAGCTTATATTTTCAGCCTGCAAAAGGGACACACCACATTTAAATCTTTTAATAAAGAGTAATCGTTTTCATGTGACATCGCTTTAATATTCTTTGTACATTGTCCATTAGGAAAAAAAAAAGGAAGCATACACTATAAAATGATGGATTGTATGTTTAACCCTGAGCGCCATTGTTCCATGGTTGTATCAGTATCAGTATCACACCTGTGACTAGTGTACGCAGTAAAAGCACCTCATAACAAAAATTCATCCTTATTACTATAAGGTATTTGGATCAAATGAACATATTTAAAAGTACAATACATGTATACTGTATGCGATCATTTTACAATATTCAATGATCGTTGTTGCGGTTGAAATTGAGTCTTAAGTGATGAAATTGTAAAATAATAAACTCTTTATGTTGTATAGCGCGCTCTCAAGACTAATTTCTTTATCTTCAAAACAATGGGTTTTTTTACTACGATCGAACGATTTGCTATTCCCGTTTGGAAATTACATGTATATCAGAACAGCTTATTCTGAGATTTTCATGGTCACAGCTATCATGGAATGGCCTTAGGCGCTATTTGAAATATTTGGAATTTACCAGGAGCACCAGTAAATTTTTTATTATTCAATTTCTCAAAAGCAGAAGTATTTTAGGGGCTAAATTTTCTAGTGCTTGTAATACATCCACAGGGGCATCCAAATATATCAACATTTTAAAGAATTACTATCAATTCAATTTTCAGAATTTCCCAAAACTTTGCATTACCTTTAATCCATTGTTATTTGTTACTGAATTTTCTCTTTACGCCCAATCATTATGTTTTACAATTCACATACACTGTAGTGGGACACTAAAAAAACAACCTCAATTTTATAAGGAAAGTATTATAACGGTAACTTCCTGAATGAATTGAAAGGAGGGAACTGGTAAAGGTCACAGTTGCACATCAATTATTTAAGGTTTTTTTTAACAATATGTTCTCGGCAACTAGTTGTCATTTCCTGCCTCATAGGCTGTTCAAACTGTTTGTTTTTTTAGAGTTCAGATTTTTAAATGAAATACTATTGTATTACAGCAGACTCATCTAAAATTTGTATGCTGTCTTTAATAGATAATTATTCACATGATCCAGTTGCTCCTAAAAGTGTTTGTTTTTATAATTTGCACAAGAGGAAGCTACTTTTCAGATATATTTTCTATTCACATTTGATGCATGTTCTGGTTAATCTTTGAGTCATCCACTTACATGTATATGGAATCTCTTTAATCTATTTTATAGGAATCTACTTTGCATGCACTGTACATGTACATGTACATTAGCTGTTGCAATGTCAGGCAAGCATCTGGCAAGCCTTTGAGTTGTCAAGGCCCGGGAAACCTTTCTTCAAGCAGTATGCATATACAAAGTAGTGAACAAGTCTATTCTATGATCTACAGTAATTAAACAAAAAAGGGCTCATTTCTTGGATCTTGGGGCGTATTTGCTCTCAGGGGTGGGGGGGGGGGGTTTAAATCAGCATTCATCAGTATTGCACCCCCTGCCCCCCCCCCCCCCTCTCCTCCTTTAACCGCCGCTTCTGAAAGGTTCATAATTCATGTACTGTACGTGGGTGATTCAAAATCTTGATGAAACCAAAACACAATGCTTTCATAGTTTCATTTTATGATGTTCTTTTCATGTGTGGGGAGTTTATGAAGGCCTACGCGTACTGTATGCACAAACTTTTGATGCATACAAGCTGCACATGTACAGATGTATACTGTATACAGGTTCAATTCAGCCTTGCACACTTTTACAGCCATATTGTGTTTTTACAGTACACACGAATGCACATACTGACTACTGTATGAACTTGTAGTCTTGTACCTGTACATGTATACAATGCATAATGCCTATGTATTGTATGGTATCGATGTTGTGTTAGCAACTCATAAAGCATGAATCATAGATTTTTTTATTATTTGTTCTGAAACGATTGTTCGGTGGATTCAGAATTCCCCTCTCCCCAGCCAATGAGGTAACAGTAAAAGCCCTCTTTGTCTCGTTATGTGGGTCACATGATCACCAAGTTACAGGTGGTGCAACATGTCTAGTCTCAGCACCAGCCCTATTAAAGTTGTGAAACGTGTAGATCGTGCAACAAGTGTTTGTGTACCGGTAATTGAAGATTAAACAGCTACATGTATTAAAAACAAAAACATCCTAATACATCCAGTGAAACTAAACAAGTGTGTGTGTACTTGAAGATTAAAAGCTATTCAAAACAAAATTCCTTATATACATTTGTAAAGCGAAACTAGACAAGTACAACTAAACCCACCATTTACCTGTATTATTGCTCTTAACTGTACATACAGTATCCTGTACGTGTACATGTACTGCCCTAGTGCCCTTCCACAACAAAACAGCATACCGGTAACAAGACTATTTTAGTGTTTCTGTAGGAAGAACCATGCTTTTCAATTTCCTATTCAAAGTGTTTAAATGTTTTCATACAGTACAAATATCAAAATAGATAATTACAGTATTTTTTAAACCTTCAATTTTTAGTTTAACATGTTTATACTTGATGTTCTGAGTCACCCACACTAAATAACTCGATTTTGCAAGAAAAATCATTTATGCTGTTTTGTCATGGAAGGGCAGAGTAATTCTTAGTTTCTCTGGCAGTACCTTACAGCTATAATGTACAAGTTACAACTATACTTTTCTTGACAGAAGTTCTATACAATTTTTTCATTATTCATCTCAATAGACCAGTTATTCCAATCCAATCCAATCCAGGAATTTGTAAAGAAAGCGCCAATAATACCCGATGACATTGCCTAATCAAAGGCGCCTGGCTGATTCAAATTGTATGCATACTTGTTAGGTTGTTCTTGACAACAGGAAAGCTTGCCTGAGGCTTGCTAGACATAGCAACAAGTAATGTATGCAGACTGGATTCCAAGTATTGTAGTTCATTCATTAATAACAGGTTAATGGAATAACTCGATACTAGGTTCCCAGGAAAGAAACACCCATATTTGAATATGTTGAATAGTAAAGAGGTCTACAATACCGCCCAGAAGTTATTGGGCATGTTTTTGCGGGGCGGGTTTTCCCCGATGGGTATTTCACGATAAAATCACGATAAAATATCGATGAAATACTGATAGAATCACGATAAAAATCACGATAATTTGCACACTAGTGAATGATTTCCTCTATCGGGGGATGCGTGTAACCCGCCCAATCCCCCGATATCTATCGTGTTTCATGGTGCGCGTATTTGCAACTAGTCAAGTCATGTCCTCTGCAAGCGCATGTCTTGCTCATCGCGCGCGCTAAGTCTTGATATGTATGATTTGTACGCGCAGTTCCGTATGTGTCTTTGTTTACGTCACAATAGAAAGTATTCACGAGTAAACATTACACACAGTTAAATACTAGTAAAAGCCGTCGCTAAATCACTGAC